AAATGAATGCTTTATCTATGATTTCTATACGTTTGTTTTAGTCATATAAAATTTATCTAAAATTTGTCTTGAAACTTTTTTAGACTTAGCTAAACCATTTTTAGCCTACAATATGATGCCCCAAATTTTATTTTATTTTTAAATCAATAAATTGATATATTAAAGCTTTATAGTGTTTGCTATAGGCTACATGGTATTCACCATGTATAACCACTTAGTATTCACCACTGGCCTTTTTAGACTTCATAGAAGGGCCTTAAAGCCGATATTAATGAACTCGATTCTCATGAAAGTGGAGTAGGCTTAGGAAATTTTCATCTCATAAATTTTCAATCTGTGTTTTTTAATGTTCTGTAAATGATAGATTATGTTTTATTCGTGTTTCTTACCTTTCAATTAGTGAATTCTTGCTTTATAGAATTATTTTTTTCATGTTCCATCTATGTAACATTTAGTGGGACATATTATACCATTACTTGCCATGACATAAAAAATGAAATGTACATTATCGTTCAAACTTCAGAAATAACAATACTCATTTACGTAATGTCAATCTATGCTTTTTCGTTATCACACACATACGTGCTATAGCAAAGATTGTACTGTGATTTTGCATAATGAATCTGAATATGACTGGCATGATCTCAACATAACGTTATACGTTATTTAACCATATGGTTTGTTGTTCATTGAGCAAAATCTTTAGTGAAATGGTGTCAAGTAGTACCTAAATTAGATGAAAGCAAAAATACAATATTTTCTCTAGAGAATGAGAATAATAGGAAAATGTGTTGAGATGCCTTCGGAACATATGCTTTAACAAATCATCTGGAAAATTGAATGAATGAGACACAAAGCCACTTTGCTTCTCTATCTAAGCAAGGATTCTGGTTTTCTTTTCCCTTCCTTTCCTTTCCTTTCCTCTTTATATCCCTTCCAACTATATCACAGTTCACAGTCTGACTCATTGTCCCTTTATTTTTTTGCCATGCTGCGTTGGGTGAATTGGATAGAACTGGTTGTATAATGAAGAGAAAATTGAAATCTTGTTTAACATACGTTCAATTCTAGAAAAAATTCCACTTGCTGATACTCGGTACCTTGGCAATATTTCTCGTGCAGAAACCAATGAAGTGCATCTTCTATTGTACAGTAAATCTTAAGGTGGAGCAAAAGAAATAGTTGTACAGTTGCCGAGGCTCTGCTACCTGCTTAAATACAATAACGAAAATCATGATACAGTTGGATATATGCACACGTGGCCCATTTCAATGTCATTTTGTCATTCTTGCCAAACACTACTTTAAGCTTCACAGAATTATCACCAGTATCATGCCTGTTGTATGCTTCAAGATTTGCTCCTAAGTTCCAAGATAAATAATAAAAAACGGAAGGCT